CCCTGGTCAGCTTGGGTTCCTTCCCTCTGCTGGCCAGCCTGGTCCACGGTGCACAGAGGGTGCAGGGCCAGCCTACAGCAGGGGAAGGAAGACATCAGAGGAGCCCTGAGTCAGAGGCAAGGGGTGAGGATGCGGCCTGGCGACACTGCTTCCTCCGGTCTCGCCCTGTACCAGGGTGGGTGGAAGTGAAACCTGCCAGCTCACCCACTTGGGTCTGCTCTGAAACAACGAGCGGCCGTGGGGACCAGGGGAGCAGCCCCTAGCCCGGCTCCCAGCGTCTGTATCTCCCTCCACTCTGCCAGCACCCCTGCTCGCTCCTGGTCCCATGGCTAATCCTTGGATCTAAGGCTAGGCTGCCCTAGGATGAATCTAGCCACTCTAAAACTCCCACTAGGGCAGGGGGCAGGGAGTGGAGGCGGGTGTTTCATGTGACAGCCCCTCTGAAGACACTGTGGCCACCTGCCAAAGAACAGTGTGCCTGGGAGAATGGACCCAGGGCCTAGAGGGCAGCAGAGGGCAATACAGGGCTCCTTTGTCCCTTTGAATTCATATGTTGAATCTCTGACCCCTAGTATATCAGAATGCAATTGTTTTTTTTTTTTTTTTTTTTTTTTAGACGGAGTCTCGCTTTGTCACCCAGGCTAGAGTGCAGTGGCCGGATCTCAGCTCACTGCAAGCTCCGCCTCCCAGGTTCACGCCATTCTCCTGGCTCAGCCTCCCGAGTAGCTGGGACTACAGGCGCCCGCCACCTCGCCCGGCTAGTTTTTTGTATGTTTTAGTAGAGACGGCGTTTCACCATGTTAGCCAGGATGGTCTCGATCTCCTGACCTCGTGATCCGCCCGTCTCGGCCTCCCAAAGTGCTGGGATTACAGGCTTGAGCCACCGCGCCCGGCCTATCAGAATGCAATTGTATTTGGTTGTATTTGGAGGTAGGGGCTTTAAAGAGGTGATGAAGGTGCCGGGCGCGGTGGCTCAAGCCTGTAATCCCAGCACTTTGGGAGGCTGAGGAGGGTGGATCACCTGAGGTCGGGAGTTTGAGACCAGCCTGACCAACATGGAGAAAACCTGTCTGTACTAAAAATACAAAATTAGCTGGGTGTGGTGGCGCATGCCTATAATCTCAGCTATTCGGGAGGCTGAGGCAGGAGAATCGCTGCCTCAGCCAGAAACTGGGAGGCAGAGGTTGCAGTAAGCTGAGATCGCGCCATTGCACTCCAGCCTGGGCAACAAGAGCGAAACTCTGTCTCAAAACAAACAAACAAACAAACAAAGAGGTGATTAAGGTACAATAGATCATTAGGTGGACTCTAATCCTTGATGAATAGTGTCCTTACAAAAATGGGACTTTTGAACATAGAGAGATGCAGAAAGGAGATGACGTGAGGCCCCAGGGAGAAGATGGCCATCTACAGCCAAGGAGGGGCCCGAAGGAACCAACTGAGCAGATGGACTCCGTGTCCTTGATGTTGAACTTCAGCCTCTAGAACTGTGAGAAAGAAGGTTTCTGTGTCTAGGGGCTTGTCTGTGGGACAGGGTGGTGGCGGTCCACCTGGAGAGGGTGGGAGGCACTGGGCAGGACGGGACAGTGGTGGCAACAGAGATAGGCTACTGCGGGGATGGAGGGAGAGAAGGAATGAAGGACGGCGGGAAGCAGGTTTCTCACTGCTGGAGGAGGGAGTTACACACAGGGGAAGGGCGGAAAAGAAGGAATCTGTGGTGGAGCTGGAGTTACTGGGCGAGCTCATGATTTGTCTACACGTGCAGACAGAAACAGCAATGCACACGGATGTGTGTCGGCGAGAAGGCGCGGGAGCAGGGGCCCCAGGGACCTCACACCCGGGGCTCTGTTAAGAGAAGGAGCGGACCAGGCTGGCTTTTGCCCACCCAAAGCTTCCGTGGCTGAGCTCCCAGCTTGTCTCACCAAATCCTCCCCACAACCCTGTGAGTCGGGAGCTCTAAGAAGATCTGAGACTTCCAGAGATGTGTCCGTACCCGGGAGGGGCTGACTTGGCCGCGGCGGACTCCGCCCTAGCGCCCCGGCAAGCCCTGTACATGCAGCGCTGCTGCCATCTCGTGGTCGCCCTGGAACACTGACCCTGAGCCGGGGCGATAGCACGTGCTCAGGGCTCAGAACTGGGCCTACCTCCAGCCAGCCACCTTGGAGAGGTCAGAGGCTTCCTAAAGCGCCTACTGAGAGTCAGCAGAGCCCAATCCAGGACCTCCAGAGGGACCCTGCCGCGTTGCCCGGATCAAGTCAGCCCTGACCCTCTTAGGGGTGGCAGCCCAGAACCAGGAGGAAAGACAGACACCGTCCTTTGGTTCTCCCCCAGTGGGGAGTAGGGACAGAGGTTTTTCTGGAGCTGGGAAGGCAATACCAGAGGCAGAGCAGGGGTCCCTAGAATTACTGAGGAGTCTGAGGGGCAGGGCTCTGAGCCAGGTGTCTGGAGCAGAGGCCATTCTGGAAGTGAGGGGGGACCATCCGTGACAATAACAACATGTACAGAGCATTTTCTACATGGCAGGTGCTGGGTTACTTGTTGGCTCAGTCAACCCTAAGAACCGTATGAGGGGGCGACTGTTATTTGCCCATTTTACCAGTGAGAAAACGGAGGCACAGAAAGGTTAAGTAATTTGCCTAAGGTCACACAGCCCAGAAGTGGCCGGTCAGGGGGTGGGTACTGACACTGGGGCAGGACGTGGAGGGGTCAGTGTCCAGGCCCAGAGTGGGATGGTGGTGGCCCAGGGGAGCCAGGAGGGAGAGGGCTCGGTGGAGGATCTACCAAAGGCTTCTTCAAAGGCAGGCCCGGGGTGCCCTCTCCCCTGCCCACCAGTCCCTCCCAGCTCCACTCAACCCCTTCCCCCATGCCCCGGGGCCAGTGCCTTCTGATGCAGCTGGGCCCAGCAGGAGCTGCCGCACCTCATTAATCCTGCCCTGCGGTCCCAGGTGGAGGCCCCGCTGCTGCCCAAGGCCCCCACCAGGCAGCTGGCCCTCATTTTCTTGGGGCCAAGACTTCCTGCAGCTGTAAAGTGATCTGGCCCAGGCCTGCGGCCTCAGACAGCCTGCTGCCAGGAAACCCAGCCTGACTGCACTGATGAATTTCTGCCAGCGCCCCCCAGCCCCCACGCAGCCCCAGCAGCCTTCTCTCTGAAGGAGGCCCTCAGGCAGTCCAGGACTGTTCCAGCCAGACAAGCTGAGACCTCTGCAGAGGCCGCCTCCTGCCTGTCATTCAAGGCCCTCCATGGCTTGGCTCACCCCATCTTACCTCTGCAGCCTTGGGCCGTCCTCACAGAGAGCCTCCTGGCCCTGGGCATCCAGTCCCATCTTCTTCATTTCACAGTGCAAAACAATGATTGAGTTTATGCCTGTCTTTCTCGTCCCTTTCCCTCCCACGTGAGCCCACAGGGCTGGCACCTGGCCGCCTCACTTCTGTCTGGCAGGCACCTAGCGCTATGCTGTGTGCAGCTGGCTCCCAGGGGATGCACCCACAGGGACGAATGAACGACCTGGCAGTTTTCACCATTAGCAGGGCCCTGAGACCCCCGCCCCCAGCCCTGGGAGCCATCTGTGGAAGTTTCCTTGTGTTTCCCAGCTAACACAGGGGAGACGAGGCCTCGGCTTTGATCCTTGTAAAATCACAACTCCCCTCTAAGAGGTCCCCAGTTAAGTAGGGAGAGAATGAGGGAAGCAGGCGGTGGGGTGTGGGTGGGGCAGGCAGGTGAGGCAGCAGTGAGGAAGGCTGGGGGTCCCGGTCTTCCATTACTTAGTGTATAACCAGGCAACTCCCTTCTTCCCCCAGCCTCAGTTTCCCCAGTTGTAACTGGTGGCCAACATCATTGACCCCATAGGGCTGTTGTGAGGTACGGAAAGGGCTGGGCCAGGGTAGGGCACCTGGCAGGGGCTCACAGATGCCCTGGATGTGGCAGAGAGCGCCTGGCCTGGACCATGAGCATCCTGATGGCGGCAGGGCCTCCAGTTCCCCTGCCTGGTGCCACTGTGCCTGCCCTCAGCTGCTTTCCTTGCCCCAACTCCATCTTGATGGCTGGGCTGGGCCTGGTCTCCTGTATGCCCAGCTCCAGACCATACCTCAGATGGCAGGTGCTGCCTGCCCACTGCCCATGGGAACCAGTGGCTGCTCACACAGACCCGGGCCCTCTCCCAGGAGCCCAGGACCCTGTGGACTCAATTGCTTCGGCCCCACACCAGCCCCCCTCCATTCCCCGACCGTGTCCTGGGCCAGGAGGCTCCAACATGCCTCGGCAGTGACTCCCGGGGAGTTTGGCCTAGAGATCCCACACCTGAAAAGGTGGCACCCCAAGTCCTGGGGCTCTTGAGCTGCCATGGAGGTAAGAGCTGACCCCCAGCACCTGACCTGGGGCCCAGCGTCTGGAAATGTGTGCCATGTCTTCCCAACTTAGCCTCGGTGCCTGGAAAATGGCACGAGGAAGTGCTGGCACATGACAAACAACTGCAGGAGCTTCCTCCTGCGAGCTGGGCGGTTTGAGTGGCTCATGGAGTCGTCGACTTCACGTGCATACATCGAGGATGCTCATTTTGCTTCTCCCAGGCTGTTGTGATGAGACGAGCCAGTGCGTAGCCCCAGGCAGTGCCTGGCACCCGGCCTCGGAAGGCCAGCTTCCTCCCGTGGCCTGTGTACCCCACATGCCCACGCAGTCCACACGGGCCCCAGCCCTTGTGATTAGTGTGCTCTGTGCAGGGCAGAAGCTGGCCTCACGGGACAGCAGCGTGAAGTGCCTCGAGGAGGGAGGGATGTCAGCTGGGGAGGGCATGCATCCTCCGGGCAGGGGCGGTGGCTGGAGCCTGCCATGTGAGGTGGGAGGTGCGGCACCTGTGTAGTGTAGCTGGGTGCTTGCTCCTGTCCTTCCACCTGCACCATCTACAGATGCTCACCTCTCGGGTGGCCCCCAGCCCTGCCCAAAGTAGTCGCTGCCTCTGTGAGGCCAAGAAGTCATTTCTCACCGGGAGACTCGACAATGCTGCTAGCAGGGTGGTTTTCTACCTTTAATTGGGGACACAAAAGGCACCCCTCCCAGTACAAGAGGATCAACCAAGAGGTGAGCCCCAGTGCTGTGGTGCCCGGCCAGAAGGAACAGAGGAAGGATGGAGGACAAGGCAGTGGAGGGGCAGTGGGGCCCCAGCGGCCCCTGAAGCCTCACCTGCAGCCTGGGGCTGGTGAGATCTGGCCCACTGCGAGCAGAGTTGCAGCTTCGTACCTGGGCCGCCGCAGCTCCTCAGAGGGTCTCCACACCTCCACACCCTGCCGTTGATGGCCAGCCAAAGCCATGGGGCCCCACGCAGCAGAGCGGGGAATGGACAACAGGCTCGGCACAATTTCCACTGTCGCCAGCCAGCTTCCAGCCAGGCCTTGACTGGCAGTGTGGGCTCTGAAGGGCTCCATGGGGCATGGGCCCGGAGCAGGGTATCACTCAGTGAAAGAGAGTCACACTGGGTCAGCCAGCCAGCCGGGCTGTCCTGGGGCCTCCACTTCTCAGCAAAGTCTCATGGTCAGCTGGGGTGGGAAAGGAGGCAGAGCAACCAGATCCCACTGCAGTGCAGACCTGTCCCCAGTTCATCCCACTGCCTCCACACCCCCAGCCGCAGCTGAGGCAGCTCCATCTTCAAAGAGGAGAAAAAGGGGGTAACGAGCCACCCCCAAAGCAGCCTTGACACCAGAGGAGGGAGGGAGGTCCCAGCCTAAGGGTGTGAGAGCAGTGGGGACCTGGGCTGCAGGGTGCCAGACCCCACACTCATAAGGCGAACAGCATGTCATCATCTTTCTCCTGGGTCTTCTTCCGGGGTGCTGGGCCAGGTGGGGGACCTGGGGGCCCCTCAGCTGAGGGGCTGGAGAGGTTGGGCAATCGATCCGCGGCTTTGGCCCGTTCTTCCAGGAATTTGTCAAATTCTAGAGGAAGGGGTGAGGGTGAGGGTAAGGGTGGGCTCTGAGGCCAGAGCCCTGGGGAAAGGAACGGGCGGGCAGGGGCGGGGACTACTACCTTCGCTGGTGACCCCCTTAGGCTCTTCCGCATCATTCCCCTGGGAAGGCAGAAGAAAGGAGGCAGAGGTTAGCGGGGCCCCCAGCACAGTCAGCCTGGGGCAGTGGGGCCACAGCTGCGGCCCTGCTGAACCTGAGCATTGGGTCCCAGCAGTCTCTGCATGCCCCCGCCACCCAGGTCCCAGGACCTGGACCTGGGCTCCTCCCTGAGCCGTGGGCCCTCCTTGGGTGGCACCTGACTTCCTGAGCCTTGTTTTTCCTTCTGTAAAATGGGGGCGGGGTGGGGGCTGAAGCTAACTTGGAGGGTTGCTGGGAAGCTGAAATGATATAATATGTCACACGCCAAGCCCAGCACCTGGTGCCCAGCGGGTCCTTGATGAGTGCTGATTCCTTTCCTTGGGAGGGTCACAAGGGGTGGACGGTCCTCACCCCCGGGGGCAAAGGCTGACACCCAGAGGCTGAGGGTCATTCATGCTAACACTGCAAACGAGGGAGGGGTGAGGCTTCTGCCACCAGACAGAAAGCCTGAGTCCGTGCCCTGTGGCTTAGTCCTGGGCAGAAACGGTCTCTTCACCTGCAGAAGGCGGCTTCTGGGCCTGAAGTGCCCAGGTGCCCATGTGGGCCTTGGTGCCCAGAGAGGGGATGGCAGATGCTGGGGTAGGAGCCCTGGATGGAGAAGCTGGGTCTGGCCCTGACTCTTCTGCACCCTGAGAGGGTGGCAGGGCTTGGGGTCCCCATGACTGGCACCCGCCCTCCTCCTCCCGGGTGCTTCCCTTTAGAGGACAGCTGCTTATCAGTCTTCTGATCTGTAAACAGGGTGGGGATGGGTTTTCTCTGCAAGTGGCTGGAGTCTCCTGAGCTACTGCAGGTAGGAGCCTGGCGCCGTTATGCTTCCTCGGTTAGCCTCTCTAGCCTGCCCCGACATCCCTAAGGTGGGCCGACACCCACTGGCACCTCACCTTGGGAGCAGGCTCTGGGAAGCAGCTGAGAGGCTACTGTGCCCAGGCCTTCTCTGGGGGAGGGGGTGTGCCAAACACAAGGTGGGCAGGTGGCAGGAGATGGGGACTTTAAGTGTGCCCCTCTGCTCTCAGGGTGCTATATGCTATACAAGAATACCCTGGCCCCGTGGGTCATTTCTTGGTGAGAACAACGGGTCCTCCTGCTGTGTGGGTGAGGAGTGGGCCTGAGCCTTTGCGTCCAGCTGACTGGGCCCCAACGTACCACGTCAGTGGACAGCCACTGCTCGATGTCCTCCATGAGGCAGGCCTGGGTGACTGGGATCTGGAAGGAAGGGCAGAGGGTGAGGCAGGGAGGGCAGTGCCCTGGGTGACAAGGTGGAAGACCTGCTAGCTCAGCGCCCGGCAGCTGAGTGGCCCTGGGCAGCCTCCCAGCCCAGGCTCAGCTGCCTAGCTGCCCGGACCCACCACTGGGCCCGTTGTGCCAGGCTGTGGGCGAGGGAGGTGCAGAGCCAGGAGAGTAAGCAGGGGACAGGGCTCCCAGCAGCTGGAGCAGGGCCAGGGGTCAGAGGGAGCTCCCTCCCCTTGAGGAGAGGAACCCCAGTTCCGACACACCCTGCGGGTAAGCGTTCTAGGCTGGAGGAGGGGCTTTGGGCAACGGCCTGGGGCAGGGGCTATGCCGCAGGTTCTCAGGAGCACCTGACAAAAGACACACCAAGCCCAGGGACGGACCCCAGGCATTTTCTCTAGCCATGAAGGCTGGGGTGGGGACATGGTTAGTGGGCCAGGGGTCCCCAGGTTCCATTCCCTGCTGCCTCTGCAGACGCAGACTTCACGATAGAAGGGGGCATAGCAGGGCCTGAGAGCAGAGGTGCCAAGTTGACCAGACAAGGCCAGGTGGGTAGACCCAGAGAGGCGGCATTACAGATGGCGACATTTCACTTTGGGCCACAAAGACATGGGCTGTGCCACGATGGTCCCACACAGGGGCAGGAGTTGGGGGCTTTCTCCTCTAGCGGCTTCTGCAGTGGCAGACGCCAGTTGGAGGTCAGGGGCACAGGCTTCAGACTCAGAAAAAGCTGGATCTGGCTCACCCCTTAACACAGTGTGACTCTGGGCGGGTTACTTAACTCTCTGTGCCTGATTTCCCTCGTCCTTAGGGTGAGGCTAGCAGCAGTACTTACCGTCCAGGTGGCTGTGAGGATGAAATGGGATGTCAAAAGCTTAGCACAGGGCCTGGCATGGAGGAGATGCTCAAGAAACCGATAGGCCAGTTCCTATTTACAATTAATCAGTGATGGCACTAATAGCACTAGTTACTAGTTAGCTACTTTAGAAAAGACAGTCTTTCCCCAACCAGGCCAGTTTGGTTTCCAAGCTCCGTCACCCAGCACCTGAGGACCCCCGAGGCAGGAGCAGAGCCCAGAGAGAAGGCAGGAGCCGACTTCCCAGCAGCAGTGGCAGCAGCCAGCGCCCAGCTGCCCACACCGGCTCCCTCTCCCGCTCCGCTATCCCCATCGCCTCTTAGCTGCCAGAGGGGCTACCTTGCCCTTGCCCGAGACTCAAGAGTGGGAACTGGGCACAGAGGAGCTGTGGAAGCTGGGCTGGCCGGGCCAACCCGGGAACAGCCTGAGCCCTGGGGCGCCGCAGGGCCCTCAGCTGCCCCTCCTCGCTCCTCTGGGTCTTCTCCTGGGTCCCACTCCCTTGGACAGCAGCACAGTGCCCCACGCCCACGCCTGGCAGGAGCCCTGCGAGCAACCCCAGCTTTCCTGGCGGCCGGGCCTGGCCCCTGCTCACCATGCCTTGTCTCACCATCCAGTCACTGAGGCTCTTCTCACAGCCGCCTCCCATCTGGGTGAGAGAGAGTCACGATGATGGTGGAGGGCCGGCAACGCCAGGGCCACTGGAGGGCGCAGCTTCTAACAGGGGTGCGCCTTTCGGGTCAGGAGGCCTGCTGCCACTCTGGGAGACGTGTGTAGGGGTGTGTGTTTAGGTGTGTCGGTGTATGTGTGTAGGTGTGTGTAGGGGGTGTGTAGGTGTGTGTAGGTGTCAGTGTATCAATGTGTAGGTGTGTGTGCAGGTGTGTGTGGTGGGTATAGGTGTGCGGTGTGTGCAGGTGTGCAGGTGCATGTGTAGGTATGGTGTGTGTAGGGGTGTGTATGTAGGTGTATGAATGTAGGTGTGTATGTGTGTGTGTGGTGGGTGTAGATGTGTGTGGTGTATGTAGGTGTATGTGTAGGTGTGTATGTGTGTAGGTGTAGGTATGTGTGGTGTGCAGGTGTGGGTATAGGTGTGTGTGATGTGTGCAGGTGTGTGTCGTGGGTATAGATGTGTGTGTGGTGTGTGTAGGTGTTTGAGTATGTAGGTGTGTGTGTAGGGGTGTGTATGTAGGTGTATGAATGTAGGTGCGTATGTGTAGGTGTGTGTGGTGGGTGTAGATGTGTGTGGTATAGGTGTATGTGTAGGTGTGTATATGTGTTTATGTGTAGTAGGTGCGTGTGTAGGTGTAGATGTGTGTGGTGTGTGTAGGTGCATGTGGTGGGTATAGATGTGTGTGTGGTGTGTGTGTAGGTGTGTGTGGTGGGTACAGATGTGTGTGGTGTGTGTGTAGGGGTGTGTGGTGGGTACAGATGTGTGTGTAGGGGTGTGTGTAGGGGTGTGTGTGTAGGTGTATGAGTGGAGGTGTGGTGTGTGGAGGTCTGTGTGGTGGATGTGGCGGCCGGTGCAGAGGGATGAGGCAGGCATTGCGGTACCCACCGGGGGGTGAACCACAACAACTCTGGGATGCCAGCGCCCTGGGTAGGCTGGGGCAGAGCTGACAGCAAACTAAACAAAGCTTCTCAACTCTCTCCACAAAGATCCCAGAGGCTGGGCCTCAGCGACCCCAGGACAGCAGGGCAGGCGGCTGGAGATGGTCTGGAGGCTCCCAGTGGGGTGTGATGGGCACTCAGGTTTTATAAACATCAGTTTATCCAACCTTCTTACATTCATCCATGGCACACAAGCAGTTTCCTAGGGCCCCAGAGTGGAGGGAGACGAGAGTCCTGCTCCCAGCCCATCGCCCTGTGCCTGGCTGGCCCAACCTACTCAGACCAGCATGGGGCCTGGCACATGGCACACGGCACACAGCGGGCACGTCAGGGAGTGAAGGAACTACAACCTGGCACACAGCATGCACCACCACCTCGTCACACGACTTGTGAGTCCTGCTCGGAATCCCAGGGCGCGAACATGGGCTGCCCACAATTGGCACTTGATTCTGTTTTTTTTTTGAAATAGAGTCTCACTATGTTGTCCAGGCTGGAGTGCAGTGGTACAATCACAGCTCATGATAACTTCGAACTCCTGGCTTAAGTGATCCTCCCGCTTCAGCCTCCCGAGTAGCTGGGACTACAGGTACATGCCACCACGCCTGGTCTCGATGCCGTTTTGTACTTTGCCGTTGGGAATCATGTTCTCACGGTTTAGTGGGTGAAGGCCTTACCACCAGCCAGACTCCAGCACCCCAGGAGCAGGCATTTGCTCACAGTTTTAAGAAATCATACCCTGATTTGGCAGAAATGGCTTAAATCTCCCAGGTTATATCAGAGAGAAGTGAGTGCTAACCGGTTTCTCAGCTTCTCTTTGCTGCCAGTGGAGTTATGTGGTGTGTCTTCTCTCTGTGGGCGGGTTGCAAGCTGGTGTGGGAGCCAGGACACCTGGGCGCTAGTTCTAGTCATGCCTGAATTGCTGTGCATCCCTGGGGAAGTGAACCCTGTCTCTGGGCTACAGTGGGGGCGGACTGGCTGGGATTGCTGCCCACTGGGCGGTGAAGTCAACCTCTGACCACAAGAGGCCAGGTGGCCTGAGAGGAGAGCTCCTACGGCAGGCTACCAGCATGTCAGTTCTGATGAATCCCGACACACTGGAAGCCTGAGGCTGAGGAGGGAGACACACACCTCCACTCACTCTCCTTTGCACTTAGGGCTTTTCACAGCTCTAAGGTTACCAGCGTGGCTTAGGAGGCAGGCAGAACAACACCTGTACTCTGGGCAGGGTATCTCCCAGTCCTCAGCCTCAGTTTTCTCATCTGTAAAGGGATCAGGACATGGAGGTACTGTAAAGCTTAAGTGCCGTAATACTATACTGTGTGCCAGGCACCATGCTGAGGACATCACACTTGTGGTTTCACTTAACCGCTCCCTGGAACTCAGTTTTCTCATCTGTAAAATGGGATAATAACATACCCTAAGGGTTTGACTCGCTAAGAGAGGGGATGCAAAGTGCTTAGTGCAGGCCTGGCCCGTAGCACAGGCTCAGCAAATGATGGCTTACACCCGAAAAAGGACGAGGCTCTGACTGGTGTGTGCAGTGGATGTGACATGGGTGTGCAACGTGCTCTGCTTGGTGGCAGGTCACACACCACCACACATGGAAGGTACCGGATTCTCTTGCTGCCCACTGGGTGGTAGAGTCAACCTCTGTACATGAGAGGCCCAGGTGGCCAACCCCAGTGTCCCCTACCTTGCCCTGTTCTGACTTGGGAATGGCTCCTGAGATGCTGGGAGACCCAGGAGCGGAGACAGAGTGCCCTTGGGAGTCACGAGGACTTTGCCCACAGTGGACTGGCCTGGACGGTTTCCACAACTCCTCCCTCCCTGCTTTCCTTCTTTTCTTGATACAGGGTCTCACTCCATTGCCCAGGCTGGAGTGCAGTAGTACAATCTCAGCTCACTGCAACCTCCACCTCCTGGGCTCAAGAGATCCTCCCACCTCAGCCTCCTGAGTAGCTGGGACTAAAGGTGTGCGCCACCATGCCTGGCTAATTTTTAAATATTTTGTAGAGATGGGGTTTCACCATGTTGCTCAGGCTGGTCTTGAACTCCTGACCTCAAGTGATCTGCCCACCTCGGCCTCCCAAAGTGCTGGGATTCCAGGTGTGAGCCACCGCGCCCGGCCCTCCCTGCTTTCCGAGCTTCCATCCTGATCTTTTAGATTGCAAGTCAAGTCCCTCCTGTGCTCAAGACTTACCCTGCGGCCTCCACCTCACTTAGGATGCTATCCACAGGACTCCTAGCTGCCCTGAGGTCCCCTGGTCCCTGATATACCCCTAGAGCTTCATTTTCTACCCACAACCCCACACTGGCCTCAGAAGTCCCCATGCTGCCTCGAGCCTCCTCAGCCCCGGGTCCGCCACCCTCATTCCCCCTGACTCCCAGGTCCTGCCGTTTCTAACCGTCTCCCATAGGACCTGCTCTGTCTCTCACTTACTGGAGCAGAAATTCTCACACAGCCTGAAAGGCATCCAGATACACGTTGAAATGCATGAGAGAATGGTTCTTGGAGGTCTTGCCAAAGGGTGTGAGGGTCACCCACAAAGTGTGCTTGGTGCTGGACAATTGGCTGTCACTCAACACACAGTCAAGGAACTAAACGGAATTCAAACAGCACCCTTGCATTTCTCCCCGCCGCTTTAGGGTCTGCTCTTCTATTCCTCTCTGCCCACACTCCTGCAAATCAAGAGTCTCCTGAGAGGCAGAGAGGAGTACTATGGAACGGGCTCTAACTCCATGTAAAGCTGCCTACATGCATCCTCTCACACTTCTATTATAAACAAGTAGAGGTGCTAGGATAAGCCCCAATGTACAGATTAAGAGACCGAGGGTCAGAAAGGCCAATCATTTGCTTAAGGACACATAGCTGGTAAGTGGCAGAGCTGGAATGTGGAGCCCGGGCCACTGGTCTCCAGTTTCAAGTCAGGCTCAGGTCTGAATCCTTGCTTGCGAGCTGGGGCAAATGGCCTGGCCTCTCTAGCGGTTTCCTCCGCTGTAAACTGGGAATAACCACATTAGCCAAAAAGAACCGACTTGAGGGCCAAACGAGGAAGGGCCTGCGGATGTGCTGGGCCAGTGCTCGGCCTATAACGGCACCCAGTGGGTGAGCATTCCCTCACCTCCTTCAGGAGGGCCCCTCTGCTTACCGCGCCAGTGCTCTGCTGCCGGGCGTCCAGGGCTCCAGCCAGGCCGTCTGTTGCTTGGGGGGCTTCGTATTTTACCCTGAAACAGAGACCACCCAGCCATTGGATACTGCCCTTACCGATGGCTGATGCAAGAACAGAGCAGGTTGGGGCACAGGTTGAGGGCTCCCAGCCTCCAGGCCTCCCCGCAAATGGTAGAAAGGGTCTCATTTCCTGCCTCTGGAAATTAGGATCTGATAAGTGACGAGGATCGGGATTGGCCAAACTCAGGAGACTGGGAAATAGCTCCAGTGCCGCTCGGCTCATGAGAATCCCCGCAGACCCTTTCTTGAGCAGTCTTGTTTCCTATTTGATAGACTGTGGTTCTGTATGAGGTTGTATTTGAACAGGGGATTCCATTCTGCTGCTGAAACACATCCGTAGACTGCTGGGTGCGGTGCCATCTTGTCTGGCACTGGCTCACCAGCACAAAGACGACCACCCATACTCTGCCCCCACCCGTCTCAGCAGCATGGGAGGTGGCTTCGTTACAGCTCTTCTAAATGTCCCCCTGGGGGATGCCAGCCAGCCAGCCAGGCAGGGTGGGGAGGCAGGAACTGGGACGGCACGCAAGGCTGATGGGCTGGGAGCGGCAGAGGCTGACCCTGCAGCTGCTGGGCAGATGAGGAGAGGCAAGGAGGGGCATGTTGTGTGTGAGGTTAAGTCTCCTGGGGAGCAAGAGAAGAGCCCAAGTGAGAGGAGAAGCTGGCTGAGGAGGAGAGGCGGCTGTGGTGTCTTTCCCAGCTGCTGCAGTGGGGGTGTCCAGGGCAGGTGTTGGGGACCCAGCCCTGTTGCAGGGAAAGAGCCCCGTTATTCTCGCCTTGAACTGCCGCCAGAGAGGATATCAGCACCGGCTCAGTCCAGCTTTGAGGCAAAGAAGTCACAGAATTCTGGTCACAAAGGGGAAGGCCTGGATTCCTGTTATGAACAAGGCCACCTGACACGCTAGTGAAGCTAGTGAAGCCTAGCGAAGCGGGGCTGGTCTCACCGAAGGCTTCAGGAACTGGGACTGCATCACGTTTAACTCTTGCAGTACCAGCTTGCTTTCCAGGAATGGAGTAGGCTGCCACTGAAAAGGGCTTACTGAATATGACCCCCAGTTCCCACGCAGTCATTTTGAAGAGTGCTGCTGTCTGTTCCGTCCCACCAGGGGCAGAGTTTGCTGGTGGAGTGTGACCACTAGCTGGGGCATTCCCTGGTTAAACGGCTCCCATCCATGGCAAGTGGGCCAGTCACTACGGCAGGGCCCTGCTGGAGCCAACCTTAAAGCCAGTGGTTGGGGAGGTGGGGCGTCAGGTCGCTCAGTTCTGACCCAGAGAAGGCCTGCTAACTGAGGGTCTGGCGGTGGCATGTTGCGGTCTCTAAGACATGCTTGGCGCATTGTGGGCAAGGCTGAAGAAGGCACGCCCAGCCCCAGGAACACGCAGAAACCGATGCTTCCCCTTCACTCAAAAAAACTATCTGCCCTTCCTAAGCGCTCCTTGCCAGCTCTTTCTTTCCTGCCCACACATGGCCCTGAAGCCTGGCTGTTCCTGAGGGCCACGCCTGTGGCAGTAGAGGGCCAAGTACTCCCCTGGAGGAAGCCTGCGCTTCCTGCACTGGGTGGTGGCCCCTGGGCCTGGGCCTGCGCCTGCTGCCCCCCGCCCAGCGCAGGAGGGCGGAGGGTCACTCCTTAGGTGGTCCCAGTGAGGCTGTGGGCAGGGGCTGGACCTGGGCCACTGGGGTGACACTTGTCTGAGTGCTCCTTGTAGACAAGGCCTCCGTGTACAGCAGCACTGGCGAAGAGGGTGGAAGGACACCCCGCCTCTGTGAAGGCCTGGCCAAGGCATCCCTGCTGTGGCTCTCCTGGAAGCCCTACTGCTCCTTGGCACTGAGTGGACGGGACTGGCTGCAGGAAAGGCTGACGGTGCCAGCTGTGGTCAAGGCTGGAGCAGAAACAGCGGCTGATAAGGAGCCGGTTTCCCTGCAAGCCAAGGCAGAGCCGATTGCAGGCTGGTGTGAAGTGGGGAGCCAGGCAGGTACAGGGAGGGGCAGGCTGGACACCAGGCAGGCAGAAAAGGCCAGTCAGGTGACCAGAGCTGGAAGATCCACCAGAAACATAAAGGGATCAGCCAGGCAGGAGAACACAGGGAAGAGGAAATGGATGCTCAGGTCCATGCCTGAGCCTGCGGGATGTTTTCTGCCAGGGTGGAAACCAAGCCCTGGGGAGCGCCTGCAGGAGAACCAATGGCCTGAGAAGGTGCGTGATGTCATTTCAGCTGTGCATAACTGAAGACAATTTCAAAGATGAAAATCTGATAAGAAAAAAATCCCTCTTGTGCTCCCTCCTGCTCATGTTCCCTCCTGCTCATGTTACAATAAAATCAATTGCTTCTTTGTAGCCCAGTGGGCCCCATCAGCATCCTGCCCCCTTCCCTGTGTGAAGGGCGTCTTTCCCAGCTGCTGTGCGGAAGCCAGGGCACCTCTCTCCCACCCTGCCTCTGAGCCTTTGCACATGCTGTTCCTAGGGCCTGAAATGGCCTTCCTATCACCCAGCACCTGGTCCAGCCCTGAGTGCCCTCTGCAGAGTTGCATGCCCCCTTCTCTGTGTCCACAGAGCCTGGCGCCCCCTCCAGGGCAGCCCTTTGCCTTCACAGCGGTGGTCTCGGTGCACGTCACACTCCTGTGAGACTGCAGGCCCTAGAGGACAAGCTCCTGGTGTGCTTTTCCCTGTCTCCCAGGGCCTGCTCCCCAGAGGAATGATGGTGCAACAGCAAACCTCAGCCAGGCTGGTGACCAGGGCAGGCGCCAGGACTCTCCAGTGTGGCCAGCAGTGTCGCCTGCTGGGGCCTCTGTGGACGGGCCACCTGCCTGGCTGCAAGTCGCACCACATTCATTAGCTTGTCTCTGCAGGGTAGCCTTGGCAGCAACCCTAACTCCATGGCAACCGTGAGCTGCTGGTCCCAGGGTACCTGGGCTTAAAAGTACGGACTCTGCCCAGACTAAAGACGACATAGCTAACAGCTGGGGCAGCCCTAATGACCCAGCAGGCTGCAGCCTGTCAGATTTGACCTGGATTTGTGGGTTTGGAGAGGCTATCCCTGGGCTCTCTGGAGGCCCACTGACAAAGTTTCAAAAGACACCAGAATGACCTCTAAGGAGCTGCGTGGGGTCAGTGGGAGGATCCCATAATGTAGACCTTTCCTTAGCTAAAAGAATCCCGGCGGCCAGGCGCGGTGGCTCACGCCTGTAATCCCAGCACTTTGGGAGGCCGAGGTGGGTGGATCACGAGGTCAGGAGATTGAGACCATCCTGGCTAACACGGTGAAACCCCATGTCTATTAAATATACAAAAAAAAAAAAAAAAAATTAGCTGGGCGTGGTGGCGGCGCCTGTGGTCCCAGCTACTCGGGAGGCTGAGGCAGGAGAATGGCGTGAACCTGGGAGGCAGAGCCTGCAGTGAGGGGAGATCGTGCCACTGTACTCCAGCCTGGGCGACAGAGCGAGACTCCGTCTCAAAAAAAAAAAAAAAAAAAAAAAAAAAAAGAATCCTGGCTGCCCAGAGCTCAGCCCTGGGGGTCACAAGCAAAGGGCTGAAGAAAATATCAAGCAGACTGTTCCTCTTACAAGCCTGTATGGGGCCAGCTCTCCCACAGGTCCTGGCAAGGGGCTGGACCCTGGTGGACACACTCAGGCCACGTGCCTATGCTGCTGAAAGCACCCCCTGAAAACGCATGGTGCACAGGGAAGGGCAGAGCCCCAGTTCTGGGACAAGGCCAACAGAACCTGCTTAATCTTCTCTGGAAATTAACGGTGGCTATGGAACAACAGAAAAAGACTTGACTTGAAAGTCCCTGAGGATTTATCAGGAAACTTCCCTGCTCCTGGAGGGCTTACTATGCAATACACAGTGCAGGGAAGAGGGGGCTGGGTGGAGACACTGTGTTTTGAAACCAGACAGCCCTAGGCTCCTAACCTAGTGCTGCCAAATATTAGCTGCTTGACCTGGGGCAAACGACCCTGCCCCTCTCTGTGCCTCAGTTTCCCCCTCTGATCAGACTGTGTAAGACTCTGGCATACAGTGGGTCATTAGGTACCCATCCCCCACCTAGCACGGCCTGTGAGGAACGCAGTCTGTCAACTGACCACAGGGCTCCCAGGCCATGCTGCACTGACTTAGGGGATCCTAAGGGGAGTGCAGCAGGGACCGTATACCCTTTCTCAGGGTGTGCCCACCATCAAGCCGGGTTCAAGGACCCCAAGAGAGGCTTTCCCCAGCAGAGAGCCACCTAAACTGCAGGGGACCAAGGCAGGGCCAGGACACTCACTCTTTCCGTTGGTCAGCCAGTGAGCTGCCCCGTGTCAGCGCAAACATGTCAAACTCATCTTCCAGTCGACCAGAGGCCTCCAGAGACTGCAGGCCAGCTCTCACACTGCTGGAGCCCAGGTCTGCAGGGACAAAAAGGCCACCTGAAGGACCCATCCACATGTCGTCCTTGCGTGCTGAGCTGCTGCTGAGCTGCCTGCTGCCAGGCCCAGGGCTTGGTGCTGGGGAAGCGGCATGTGGGTGGGGGAATGTGCGAGGCAGGCCACCTGCTGGCTGTGGGGCCTTGGGCAAGCGGCTTCCTCTTTCCAGCTTTAGTTTACTCACCCCTCCTGGGGCTGCTGTGAGCATCAGAGAACAGGCAAAATGCTATCCACTGATTCTGCTAGGGGAAGTGGCTGGGCAGGAGGACAGTAATCAGATGGGTAGTCCAATGTTTCCAAAAGTATAGCATTAGTGATTCAAAACGGGATGCTAATGATTTCCTAGGGCTTGGCATGAAGCAGACAGTAAATTATATTAAAACCTATCACAGTGATAACAGTGACAATGGCCAGCTACTCAGCCAGAGTGCAACCTGGGCCTGGCACGGTCTAAGCGCTTCTCATACACGAGCTCCCTACTCCGGCTTCAGAGGAGGAAAGGGAGGCTCAGGAGGTTTAAGGAACCTGCCCAGGCTCACGTGGATGATGGAAGCCATGGAGAATTCAGTGTCGAGGGCCAGTCCTAGGATGGTGGGATTCTGAGATCCAAGGCGGCCCAGGACTTGTGCGGCTGCCAGGGGCAGTTACCCTGAGTGTCCCATCTTGCAGCAAGATTCAGCCTGGGACCCCAGCAAGGTGGGGTCTAGACTGACATTCTGCCGTGGGTGTATAACAAGGGCACCCCCAAAAACTGCAGGGGTGCCAACAGTACCATAATGTACCCTCAGCTGGAGCCCTCCAAACCACACTTACTCATTCCTGCCAGCTGGGATGAGAGGTTGCCGGTGGCTGCTGGCTCAGGGCCCATGTCGATCAGGTCAGCTGCCGGCTCAGCCTCACTTGGGGCCTAGTGGGAAGGGAGATGCCCTGATCATCCCCTCTGTCTGCAGCTTCGTTCCTTTCTGTCCCAAGCACTGGGGCCTGCAAGCTTTGCCCAAGGATCTGTCACCAGGGCTCCAGTAGCTAGGACTGGGCATCAGGAGATTTCCTTCCTCCCCTCTGGCTCCAGCTTAACTGGACTCCCTGGGAGGCTGGGGAGACCCTTGGGCATCAGGTGGTGGCGGAGCCTTATTTACCTTAAAGGGACAGGGGCGTAAAAAGTTAAAAGGGGATTTCTCTCTAGGCCTGGATAAAACAGCACCACCCTGTCTGGTTTACTGGGGGAGGGAGTTGAGAACGACACTCCTTCTTCCCATGAACGTGGCTTGATCTAGTCACAGAAAAGAAGCCTTTTACCTTGGTGGTCTGGCCTGTTCGGAACCGTTCAAACCTACAAGATAGAAAAGACACGAGTTATGGAGACAGACTGAGACAGGCCCCTGCCGCATGGCCAGGAAGAGCTCTTCAAACCGTGGGTCTCAACATCAACACACTGGGTTATGATCAGGGTGATGATACATCTGGTGTGCCCTGGACAGATCCAGTTCATGCCTGCTGTCCCTGGATAACTAGCAGTGCTCCTCTTTCACTTGCAAAAGTGTCCCAATTTGGATGACCAATTATAAGGCAACCTTAGTCGTGAGTAGCATGAAACAAATAAACAGGAATAGGGACAGCAAAGAAAGCAAATAGAACAGCAAAGAAAATAGGAATGTATGGCACACAGGAAAGGTAAGGGCTGTTTCATGAAACTTGTTTCAATTACATATTTGTGTGTGTGTGTGGGTTAGTGGCTCTCTTCAGGGGTGTAAGAAAGATACATGTATCTCTAACCTTGCTTTATGGAGCTACTTAGGGGTCAGTGAGGTAGATGGAGAAGACTTTAGTCTGGGGTCTGTTTGAGTTGTGGCCTTGTCACTTATCACATGACCCTGGGTAAATTATGTTCCTTCTGAACTTTAGTCTCCTTGTCTAGTATCTGCAGGCACCTGCCTCCCAGAAGTGGTGAGGCCCAAATTAGGACATGAGTATAAGTGACTGTGAACTTGAAAGCACTGGCAGACATTAAGCCTAATGACTGTGGGTATCCAAGAGAACCAGCTGCTACCAGATGGGGCCCCTCAGTCACCTCACAGCCCAAACCCCAAAATGGCAGGGAAGAGGACTTTCATTCCACTGGGCCAATGAGCAGGAGAAGCTAGGCAGATGTGACCTGCAGCGTACCCCCTACTCTCCACTGTTTTAGAATCAATCAGTGAGTGTCTTTTGATGGAGAATGACATAAAAAATGAACAAGGGGCTGGAGGAGGCTGGAATAACTCGTGTCATTTATTGGACACCCTGGACTGCTAAGTGCTTTATAGGCACTGTTTCATGGACTCTCAGTTATGCTACAAGCCTCATTTTATAGATAGAGAGGAGATGTGATGGGCATGCAGTTTCTGCAGACCCAGTAGTCCTCCTTCTCTTTTTTTTTTTTTTTTTTGAGACGGAGTCTTGCTCTGTCACCTAGGCTGGAGTGCAGTGGTGTGATCTTGGCTCACTGCAACCTCAGCCTCCTGGGTTCAAGCAATTCTCCTGCCTCAGCCTCTCAAGTAGCTGGGATTACAGGCACCCGCCACCACCCCTGGCTAATTTTTTTGTATTTTTAGTAGAGATGGGGTTTCACCATGTTGGCCTGGCTGGTTGCAAACTCCTGACCTCAAGTGATCCTCCCGCCTCGGCCTCCCAGAGTGCTAGGATTACAGGTGTGAGATACTGTGCCCAGCCCTTCTCCTTCTTTTGTAATAGCACCCAAGTGCTCCTTAGAGGAACTGCTCCTCCCCCATTTCACATCATCCCGGTGGGGCTGCCATCAAAGGGCCCTCTCCCCCACCCCAGCTGGTAGACACAATGAAGCTAAGCCAATCCAACTCTCTCTTGGGAATGTGACTTTTGAACAGAATGATACAAGGTGGGCAGGCGGGTGTGGTGGCTGATGCCTGTAATACCAATGCTTTGGGAGGCCAAGGAGGGAGAATTGCTTGAGGCCAAGAGTTGGAGACCAGCCTGGGCAACACAGTGAGACCCCTGTCTCTGCAAAACAACAAAAAAAAAGAAAAAAAAATTAGCTGGGTGTGGTGGTGCATGCCTGTAGTCCCAGCTACCTGGGAGACTGAGGTGGGAGGACTGCTTGAGCCCAGGAGGTTGAGGCTGCAGTGAGCTGTGATCATGCCACTGCACTCTAGCCTGGGTGACAGAGCAAGATCGTGCCTCAAAAAAAAAAAAAAAAAAAAAATAAGGGTGGGGGGGCAGATGTTTGTGAACAGGTGTTTGCGCTGATCCATTTATTGATGGCAGCACCCTGGGGACATGGTCCAGAAGTTTCTGCTCCTGAGACATTTGAGCTGCTCTGGGATCTGTCTTTCTTGCTCTGTTGGGAAATGTCAGTTTCACTTTTCTCTGGATTCTGAAAGCTACCCATTTAATAAAGATTATTATCCTAACAAATTCTTTTTCTGCCTAAGTTAGCCGGAAATGTTTTGTGTAGCTTGCAGCAGTGAAGTCACTTGTCTAAGGCCCCAGACCCAGGAAGTGGTGGAGTAAGGACACACCAGGCCGGTCTGGCTGCAGGGCCACGCTCTCAGCTGTGACCTGTGACCATCCCCCAGGGCTGGACTTGGGCACAGGCAGCAGGGCTGACCCTTGCGGGGGATGCAGGGTGGGTGTAAGGACGGGCCCTCAAAAACATCCTGGAAGAAGAGAGCTGAGGCCACACGCCCCTAGGAGCCTGCCTTGTGTTTGAGAGGAGGACGAGAGAAGGCTCAGACGGTATGAGACCAGGAGAACAAGGCAGAAGGGAAGGGAGAAGGTTGGGGCAGTTGGCCAGAGGCCAGGGGAGGTGCTGGGGCTACCGTTCATGGCGCAGGAACACGTTGTTGAGATTGTCATTGACGATGAGCAGCTCCTCTGTCAGCTGCTCATTGGCGATCTGAGGGATGAGCTCCAGGACCCGCTGCTGCATGGCTCGGCACGTGCGGTTGAGCTCCTGCCAGGAAAGGAAGTGAGGCAACCACAGTCACGTGACTCAGAGTGAGGCCATCTCTCATGCTCGGGCCTCCAGCCCCTGCACAAGCCTTGGAGGAGGGAGAGGTGTCCAAACTGGACTTCAAGGTTCCACGGAACAGCTTTTTGATCAGGCACACATGAACTTGAACTTCACTTCCAAGTGTTAGATGCTAAAATTTAATCCACAGGAAACCATCAACATGTCTAACTGTACTGCCGGTTTAACTTGGCTTCGTGCAGATTCCAGAATAAAGGTTGTGCCGCCACCTTTCCTTAGTCGGAAAAAACTGAGTCTGCAAAGGCTGACGTTGAACAAACTGCAACTTCTGGAAGTACGCTGTGATTTTTGCAACCAAAGCATACAAAATGAATTAGATGACTGCGACCATTAGCCACAAACCTCGATTTCGAATTTTTGCCTCACTTTTCTCACTGGCTGATTTTTTTGTCTTTTTAAATAAACTTTTAGCTTCGGAATAATTTCAGATTTTTCAGAAGAGATGCAAAGATAGTACCACAAGTTCCCATATACCCTTGACCCTGGCTTCCCCTTAGTCTGGCATTTGTCAAAACTGAGACATTAAAACTGATAAAATAGTATTAACTAAACTGCAGACTTTATTCAGATTTCACTAGGTCCTTTGTTCTAGGATCCCACAGTGCATTTAGATATCACGTCACTGACTTTTAACCAGTAAGCATCATATTTAAACTTATGAAAAAGAAAAATATTGGCCAGGCCCAGTGGCTTATGCCTATAATCCCAGCACTTTGGGAGGCCGAGGCGGGTGGATCACCTGAGGTCAGGCGTTCAAGACCAGCCTGGCCAACAAGGTGAAACCCTGTGCCTACTAATAATACAAAAATCAGCCAGGTGTGGTCACGTATGCCTGTATCCCAGCTGCTTGGGAGGCTGAGGCAGGAGAATAGCTTGACCAAGAGGCAGAGGCTGCAGTGAGCCAAGATCGCACCCACTGCACTCCAGCCTGGGTGACAGAGTGAGACTTCGTCTCAAAAAAAAATAAAAAATAAAAAATAAAAAACCATAGACATACGGGTTTTCATTTTTAAGATTGCTCAATTGTTTCTTCAGGTACCTGTCACCAGGTGAAGGTGCCTGGGTCAGGGCAGGTGCTTGGGTCCTGAGGTCCAGGGAGCTGCCTGGCATTGCCGACTGCGGCCTCACGCCAGCATGCCTTTCTCCTGGAGGCAACGCTGAGGCTAGGCACTGCCCAGTGTTTATTTTGGCTGTCATGTGGACCCTGTCCCCCGCCCCCTCCAAGGTCAGGCCTCTGGGATTTCCTCATTGCCCTTAGCACGGGGGCAGGGCGGGTCCTTTCAACATCCTGTGGGCTCCCCTCCTGCTCTCATGACTAAGCACAGGGTGGCTCTGCTTCTGCTTCCCTGCTGGCTCCTCTCAAGAGCAGAAGAGCAGCACTTGGAGCCAGGTTCAAATCGCAGCTCTGCTATTTACCAGCCATATAACCCTTGACGTGTTATCTGATCTCCCTATGCCTGTTTCCTGACCTGGAAAATGGGGGTGGTGAGGATTACGTGAGTGATGTGAACCAAGTGTCCACATACAGCTCGGGGCAGGGGAAGTGCCCAACGCATGGGAGCTGTCTCTGCGTCCACCTTGCTCAGCCTTCGGAGTCCCCAAACTGCTCACACCTCACGGCCTTGGCTTGGGGCGTACGAAGCTGCCTGCGCAGTCTTCTCTCTTCCGGAGCCCTTACTGGGTTTCAAGTTTGCGTATTCATTCGACTCTGAGGCTGCTCCTTTTCTCCCCACCCTGCACCACCAAGTGAGGACCCCTGCACAGTCGGCTCGGTCAGGCACACAGACACGGTGGCGAGGAAGACACAGCGCTGCCCTCAAGGAGTCTGAGGCCTGGTGGACAAGCAGCAGGAACTTGCACAGTTACACAAAGCACTCCGTCCCCTCATGAATTCTGGTGACTCCTGGGCCTTGGGGATTCCTAGCTTTCTTGGTGCCTCTATGACCGACCTCCACGCGGAGGGTGCTTTTTGCCAAATTCAGTGCCCCTTCCGCTCCAGTGACCCCCAATCTGGGCTGGGGCCATGGCAATACCACGTGACACACGGGAGCAGGCACCACTAGCTCCACCTGCCTCGGCTCCCCAAGACCAGTGGCTGGCGCATCTCAAGACTGGCACCAGCCTCTCACACCTGCCTGCTGAGTCTCGGATTGTGAATGGTGGAAATCTCACCTTCCAGCTTTTTCTCAGGACCCCGTACTGGGTGCTTTACTCTGTGCCAGGGACAAGCCTGGGTGTTTTCCATGCAATGCCTTATTTAACTCTCACATCAAACTTGTGCCATAAAGGCTATTGTTAGAGCAACCTTACAGATGAGGAAACTGAGGCAAGGGGGGGCTACTTTGTTCAAACCAGAAAGTGGTAGAGCTGCGGTCTGATTCCAATCTGATGGCGTCCAAAGTCCCTGGTGGTAACATGGCCCCAACTGTGACCAAGGAGTATGGAGTAAGCCATGAAGACCGTCATGAGGACTGGGAAAGAACGCACGTGGGCAACTGGGCAGGAGTCATCTGAGCCCCAGGGGGTGGTGCCATCTGCTCACCTGCAGCAGCTCCAGGTCTGCAGGCTCGACCTGGGTGGGGACCAGCTCCGTCAGCATCTCCGACATCACCCTCACGTTCCCACTCACCATCTCCAGCTCACTGCGCAGCTTCCCAATCTGAAACACACGGTTGGTCGTGATGAGAGAAGCCAGGGGTTTGGAGCCCATGTCACTCACAGGGACAGAACCCAGTACCACCAATCCTGGGTGCAGCACCAGGGAGCCCACCTCCTAGCAGACTCTCTAGGCAGCCTCCCTCCTGGCTCCCACAGTGACAGCCCTGCACTAGAGACCTGCCCCACCCCTCCTATAGACCCCTCACAGAGGCGCTACCAACCGTGACCATCTCTACACCGGGGAGCCTGGTGCAGGGAGAAGCTGAAAGGAAATGAGCTGAGGGGGAATGAGCCACCAAGTGTGGCTGGAAGACTCCAGCATCTCCTGGGTCTAACACGGGAGCTAACGAGGCCCTGGAGGGTGGCTCCCCACAGGAGGAGGAGGGAGGCTGCAGGCCCTCTCTCTCTCTCCCCTTAGAGGACTGGGATTCCGCCCTCTCTCCTCCTCGGAGGACTGGGATTCCGCCCTCTCTCTATCTCTTAGGAGGCTTCTGCCCTCTTTCTCCTCCTAAAGGACTGGGATTTTGTCTTGTTTCTGTCTGTTTTGGTGTCTCAGGCTCTTCTAAGGATAGTCCCTGCCGTGTCCCTCACCTTGAATATGAAACTCAGATTTAGCACTTGTTCCAAGGGATGTGGGCAGGTTTTCAATGGTCAAAGGGTTCCAAGGAATTGGGCTTGGGGAAACATTTTCAATAAAGCTGTAGTCTCCTCAAAGAGGTTAGGCTGGGGAAGGCCATTGGTATAAGGATCTTATGCTGTGGGACCTTGTAGCGTGTTTAATACCCTCATGCATACTGGGGATGCCCAGGAAAAGATCCATACGAAAGCTTCCAAGATTTATTTGACTGAAGAACCTTTTTACGTTTTGAGAAATGCTGGTACATTGTAAATCATGTGGCTGAGTTATAGTTGATTTCAGAGTGTCACTATATACATTCATGATTGTGATAGTAGCTACCATTTATAGACTACCTAATAAGTGCCAAGCATTGAACATATATTGCTAACTTAATTTTTTGCCATTGGTAGACATCAATACCCCTGCTTTTACAGACGAAGAAATGGAATGTAGAGACAAGTAGTATATCCACTATGGTTCACTGACACCTTCCAAAACCTGCAAAATGTTTGATCTATTTGGCTGACTTAATGAATACTCTTGGTATGAGTGAGTGGAAAAACTACTGATCACAAACCCCCTGCATCCAAATCAGACTTAATTACAAAGGAGCCTGGGAGTAACATCACTGCACACCTGATGTCTTCACATGTCCCAAGAGACAAAAGGGGACTCTTGAATTAAACAAAGATTAGTTTTGTTTAGCAAGCACCTTCTTGAATTAGGAGTAATTAGCGTCTTAATCCACATAGATGCTAGACTACAGGCAACTGGTTAAAATCGTAACTGAGACAATTTTTTGGATCATAAGGTGCTTTTACACAATTTTTTACACACTTTTAACCCATTCAGGAAAAAAAAGTGCAGCTCACTGTCAGCACTCATTTAATTTTACATAAACACGCTCTTTGAGGCTGAAGTAAACCTGACTATTTTCAACATGAAAATAAAACATAAAAACTGTTCTTGGAGTTATTTCTAAACAGAACTCGTCTCCAATCCTAATGTAACAGAAATGTATATGATGTTACATTAGGATTAGAGACAAGAGTATCCTTGGGGTAAACAGGCAATGTGTTAATAATTTTGTCCAGTTAGCAACATTTTCTAGTAATATTTGTAACTCTGGGGGGTGATTTCACAACTTGCTAAGAGAAAACAAGTCACGGAAGTTTCTCTTCAAATAGGTTAGGGTTAGAATGAGTTCAAATGATACATAAAGCGGGTCCTGAGGACGCTTATTGGGAAAGTTAAGCTTCACTTTTTTCTCCATCATGCATCCGTGTCTTCTTCACCAGCACACGCAGCAGCTCCGCCTTTAAGCTGCACTGATGTGATGGGTCTGATGCGTGTACAACACCTCTAATGTGGGTGCTCCCACAGTGTGCAGGACTCTGCCCCCACCCCAGCAGCCAAAAGTCTAGAATGACAAGCCCCCAGCTCTACGAGTTGGTCATGGCTGTAGAAGTCACTCAGCAGATACAGCAGCCATGGCACTCCACAAGCAACTCATGGCCCAGTGGGCAAATCGTCCCACCTCCAGCCACAGAAGGAAGGGAGACGCCCAGGCTGCCTCAGTCAGAGGATGCCACCTGCTCTGAGGTGGGTAATCCTTCAAAGCTAGTCACAAGGCTGGGAGAATCTGTCCCCTAGAATCTCATACTAAGCCTCAAACCTTCTGGGCTGGGCGTGGTGGCTCATGCCTGTAATCCCAGCACTTTAGGAGGCCGAGATGAGTAGATCACTTGAGCTCAGGAATTCCAGACTAGCCTGGCCAACATGGTGAAACTCCATTTCTACTAAAAATACAAAATATTAGCCGGGCATGGTGGCTCATGCCTATAGTCCCACCTACTCAGGAGGCTGAGGCAGAATTGCTTGAACTTGGGAGGCAGAGGTTGCAGTGAGCCTAGATCATGCCACTGCACTCCAGCCTGGGTAACAGAACAAGACTGTCTCAAAACAAACAAGAAAGTTTCAAACCTTCTTGAGACTTCATGGGAAGCAGCATGGTACAATGTTCATGTGTTTTTTATTTTTTATTTTTATTTTTTATTTATTTTTTTTGAGACGGAGTCTCGCTCTGTCGCCCAGGCTGGGGTGCAGTGGCCGGATCTCAGCTCACTGCAAGCTCCGCCTCCCAGGTTCACGCCATTCTCCTGCCCCAGCCTCCCGAGTAGCTGGGACTACAGGCGCCCGCCACCTCGCCCAGCTAGTTTTTTGTATTTTTTAGTAGAGACGGGGTTTCACCGTGTTCACCAGGATGGTCTCGATCTCCTGACCTTGTGATCCGCCCGTCTCGGCCTCCCAAAGTGCTGGGATTACAGGCTTGAGACACCGCGCCCGGCTTGTTATTTATTTTTTGCACAGATGTTTTAAAACTTTTCAGGCAGAACCTCTGTTCAAATGAAATCTTTTTTTTTTTTTTTTTTTTTTTTAAACAGGTCTACGTTGTCCAGCCTGGTCCCGAACTCCTGGGCTCAAGCCATCCTCCCGCCTGAACCTTTGAGAAGCTGAGATCACAGACACATGTGACTATGCTCAGCTCAAATGAAAGCTGTGAGTGTGTAAGAAACCACACAGGTGGAGCTGGCCTGGTTGAAGGAGCCGCCTACAGGACACCTCCTCTCCATGGTGCTGTCAGAGGGCCCCGCAGAAAACACAGGTTGGAAAACGGCCAAGGTACAGGGCAGTGCCTGCCAGGAGTCAGACAGGCGTGAGCTTGAATCCCAACTGTCTCCGATGACTGTGTGCTCCGGGCAAGTGAATGGACCTGTCTGAGCCTCATCGCTCAAACAGGAAGAATCACACATACCCTGTGGGCTGCTGTGAGGAAGAAGCGGAGGCTCCGTGGACGGTAAATTCTGACAGGGCCCCTCCCTGACGTGTGTGGCCCATCTGCCTGGACCTGACGGTTCTGACCCCAGGCTTGCGTACCTGCTCCGGCGTTGGTGCTATGGGTGTGTCGCCGGAGAGCATGGGCGGGGTGGGCAGAGGGGCAGTGTGCTGGCCAGAGTCCTCTTGCTGGCTGGCGTCAGAGCCCACAGAATCCTGTCCTGATTGTGTCTCTGAGTTGAACACGGTCTAGTGGGAGGAAAACAGGATCAGTGAGGGGTCCTGGGAACGCCAAGAGCCCAGGAAGTCAGGGGCCGGCCCGGTGATGTCTCTGGGGAGGAGTCCTGCCTGCCTTCCCTCGGTTCCCGGTGCGGCAATTCTCTCACCCTCTGGGGTGTGTGGATAGGCGACAGCATGTCCAGGTCAGTCATGGGGAACTCCAGGCCTTTCCTCCGCAGGTCCTCATAGATGGTGACCACACCTGTCAGATCGGGCGAGCTGCGGAACGCGTCAGCCCAGGACTGAGGGGGAACAAGGGGACACAGCCGGTAACCACAGCTCACCTGTGAGCCTTCCCACCTGGCACCCAGAGAACAGACATTCTTTCCCTGATTTTTTCCTTTCTTTTTTTTTCTTTACTACATCTGCCCTGCCCACTCCACAGCAAAGCACACAGTTGGCAAGCCTCCCTCCCCACAGGACATCCCACCAGCAGACAACCGAGACACCCCGAAATGAGAAGTGGAGCCTGGGACAAGCACGATGGCCTCGAGCTCTCCACTGGGCAGGAGGCTCCCGCGCTGACAGCTTTTCCTGGCGCTGCCCTGTCCTGGCACTCACCTGGATGAGGTTGAGCACCTTGTCATGCACGATGGTGGGTGGGTTGTTCTTGGGCAGGATGGTCCTCACCAGCACACTCTCCACGAAGTCCTGGCTGGCCACCAGCACGTGGAAGCGGTGCCCGCAGTTCTTGACACAGGTTTCTAAGACCTGGAGGGCCGAGAGGTGCCGTCAGGCACCTTGGTCAGAGGAGAGGCGGTGCCCAGGACCCCCACCTCTGTGGCTCCTCCTGTGTCCCAGAGGGGAGGTCCGGAAGAGGAGATGGGACTTCCTGGAGTGAGACCCTTGAATGTGGAGGACTGGGACAATGCCAGGACTGGGGGACTTGTTTACTGGAGGGCACGGCCTAGGGTGGGCAGCTGTGTGGTGTGTGGGCTGGACTTCCCTCCCTGACTGGTGTCCGTGCACACAGAATCCCAGTGCTGGCTCTGAGCTGAGCATGGTCTAGACAGAAGGGGCTCTCCAAGAGGAAATCAAGAATCTGAGATGTCAATTGACTGGTAAGCCTGTGGCCCAGGGAAAAGACACTGAACTTCCCTCCCCACTCTCCACTTCCCACTGCAGGAATTGCCTTTGCTTTTCGCTTAAGCCAATTCACCTGGATATAAATGCTCCTTGTGGAGGAGGGTGGGACAGCGTTTATATCTTCCCCAGCCAAACCCATGCTGACAGCTAGGAGGCCCACGCGTGTCTGGCCGTCCTGAGATCTGGGCTGGTTCAGTGGTGTGGGCAAGACTGTTCTCAGCCACTGGTATTTATTTTACATTCATTTTCCAGAGCACCAAAGTGCCAGGCAGCACCCAACTCAGTCTGCCAGCCTCCCTGCCCCCACGGAGGCCTGGGTTTACTGAGCTTCAATGTCACCCGCAGGTCCTTTGGCCCAGGCTCTCCCTGCCAGTGGCTCTGGAGTGATGTAAGCATCTGTTCCCATGCTGGGGGATCGGGGAGAACCTTTCCAAAGGGCTTCTTGCCATTCTGCATCCGCCTGCAGTGTAGACAGGACAGTGTGTTGCCCACAGACCTTTCCTTTCCAGCACTCAAATGAGGAGCTCAGGGGAGGCTGGGAGTTCTGCTGGGTCTGAGGGGAGGTGACTTTCAGTGGACTGCAGTCCTGCCACGGGACGGACAGATGGGGCACTCACTGTGAGAGCCAGCATCACCTCGTGGAAGTTCTTATTTCCCACGATTCTCTTCTTTACTGCTCGGAGGGCATCTTTGGGACTAAGAAGAAGGACAAGAAAAAGGGTGGGCTTAGGAATAGAGCCCTCTTACCCAACAGCAGAGGCCCTGGAGAGTTGGAACAGCTCTTATTGGCCCATCCTCCCTGTGCCCCCCCTGTTTGGTGTATCCAGTCAGGTTCTGATCACATCAGAATCTTCCTAGCCCATTGCTCAGCAGGGACTCACAACCTGTGGCCCCTGGACCTCCTGCAGCAGAGTCACTTTGAGAAAAGGTGAGAGTGTTTTGTTAAAAGTGCAGAACCTGGCCGGGCGCGGTGGATCACGCCTATAATCCCAGGACTTTGGGAGGCTGAGGCAGGTGGATCACTTGAGGCCAGGAGTTCAAGACCAGCCTGGCCAACATGGCGAAACACTGTCCCTACTAAAAATACAAAAATTAGCTGGGCGTGGTGGTATGAGCCTGTAATCCCAGCTACTTGGGAGGTTGAGGCGGGAGAATCGCTTGAACCCAGGAGGCAGAGGTTGCAGTGAGCTGAGATTGCGCCACTGTACTCTAGCCTGGGCGACACAGTGAGAGCCGAGATTACACCACTGTACTCCAGCCTGGGTGAGTGAGACGCTGTCTCAAAAAAACAAAAGACATTTAAAAAAAAAAAAAAAAAAGCAGAACGCCAGGTCACCACACTATATACCACCTGAACCAAATTCTCAGGCAGTGGGGCCCCTGAATCTGAATGCTCTCATGCTCCCCAGGGGGTTCTTATGCATGCTCAAGTTTAAGAACAAAGAACCTGGAGGCTAGTGTTTTCATCACAAAAATAGAGACGGGGTCTTGCTATGTTGCCCAGGCTGGTCTTGAACTCCTGGGCTCAAATGATCCACCCACCTCGGCCTCCCAATGTGTTGGGATTACAGGCATGAGTCCCTGAGCCCAGCCAGCATAGTGTTCTGATGCCCTGGCCAGCTGCTCTATCTGCCCATTTATCCTTCCATTCAAGTCTTTTTTTTTTTTTTTTTCTTCTGAGACAGAGTCTCACTCCGTCGCCCAGGCTGGAGTGCAATGGTGCAATCACAGCTCACTGCAGCCCGGAACTCCTGGGCTCAAGTGATTCTCTTGCCTCAGTCTCCCAAAATGCTGAGACTATCAGTGTGAGCCACCATGTCTGGCCCATTCAAGTGTTATTAAGCACCAATGTGTGCGTGGCACCATGCTAGGTGCTGGGGAGACAGTGGCAAACGAGACCATATGGCCCTGCCTCCTCCCCACCTTGTGGGGAGACCCAAAGAAGAGCAGGGAATAAGCTGGTCCTGGAAAAAGAGCAGAGGTGAGGATGGGGGTGGTCAGAAAAGACCTCCGAGTTGGGCCTTGAAAGATGGGAAGGACCAGCCGTGGGGAGTGGGGGCAGAGCAGTTTGGGTCAAGGTCAGAGGCTGGACCAAGGTCATGGGTGCAGAGGAGCTTGGTGCCTTGGAGGAACTAAGAGGAGGCCACGTGAGTGTGGGGGAGGTCGGGCAGGGCTGAAGAAGCCTAGGGGTCACGGTGGTGGGAGGCCCCTGGAAGCTGGGGTGCCAGTCTGCTCTCCCTGTCCCCTCTGTGATTCCCACCACCCTTCATCCTCAGCCCTACACAGATATACTCAGTGCTGTCCTCACTGCTTTTGTCTAAAAAGCCTTTGTGGGCCCCCACCTGCACCCTGAAGGCTCCTGACCTCCACATCCATGAGGTGAAGCCTCAGCTAAAATCCACCCTATCCACGACACTTTCCCAGGTCCTCCAGTCTCCCTGGCTGTTCTGCCCTGCCACACTGAACTGGGGCCCGCCCTGGGTAGAGAAGCAGCCTGCTAGAGGGCAGGGATGGTGTCCTCTTTGGACAGCTTCCCCCTAGAGCCCAGCACGCTGCTGAAGCATAAGTAACACTTCCCAGCCTGGCCAGTGGCCACTGGGGCCCATCCTGCTGTCTGCCTGGCTGTCAGCGCTGACCCCATCCAGGACTAAGGCAGGAGAGCCCGGAACCCTGGTACTGGTTCTCAGCAGGAGAAAAGGCAGAGGCAAGGCTTCCTAGGGACGGAGGCTGCCTGGGGGCTAGGGCTGTGGAGACAGTCAGGCCTGGGGTGGAAGGGACATGGTGGGGAAAGGGATGGTGGCCCACCAAGGGGGGTCCTGGCCCAGAAGCCTGAGAGCACTTTCCAATCCTTGCCTCTCTGGGCAGCCCCTCGCCTGTCCCTGGCTCCTGGTCTTGGCCTGGTCACTGACCCACGGGCTACTTCAGCGCTTTATAGGGACTTGTTTCCACCTCTTCTAGGGTGGCCTAGAGACAAGGGAATCAGAATCGTTCCCTGGCGTGATCTGCCATGTGCCACTGACCTGGGGGCCCGCCCTGGGAGAGAAGAAGCCTCCTAGAGCGCAGGAACAGCATGCTTGTTGGACACCTTCCCTCCCTAGAGGGAAGCACTGGGAATCGGAAGTTCTGGCCTTGCCACTGCTGTGGGCCCATGATGTCCAGTACTCTGCTAGGAGCGTGTATGACAAGGAGGCCACAACCCAATGGGGGAGACACTTTAGTAATGAGGCTAAGTTTAGGTGCCATGCTTGATGAGGTCAAGGGTCACACCCGCCTTTGACCACTGCTGGGTCCCTAGTGCCTCCTATGGTGCCTGGAACACACAAGGTGCTCAAATAAACAGCAATGCACCTGAATGACGCTGAGCCCATCCCCCCCATGTTTACAAGGGACATGGGGGCTTGCTGTCCCCAAGGATACTGCAGTGACTTGCAGCTGCGACGTCCATGAAGCTCCCAAGCCTGTCTAGAAGCTTGGTGAAGTTTTCTGCCTCCTGCTTTCTTTCTCCTGACCTCTGCCCACCACTCCTTCCCTCACGCTCACTCTCATGAGTCCTTGGCAAGACCAGGGAGCAGGGCTGAGGAAGACACCGGCAGGTTCCTGGCAGCCAATGCCCTCTCCTAACTGGGCCTTGACTGTGTGACTCAGATGTCCACAGCCTCCCTCCAGCTCAGAGCTGAGCATTCCCTGCTCTCCACCTGCGTCCGGCCTGCCCCTCTCCATGCAAAGCCCTCCCGGGCTGAGGAACCCTGCGCTGGCCACGGGACAGCTGGATGATCCCAGTGAGAACTGGAGAGGAAAAGGAGGGTCCACACCGATTTCTCAGGATGGAGGCCTCGCCCGGCAGCACTTCCTGCTGCCCATGGGCCCCACACCTCTCCCCATCCTTCACTGGGTTTTCCTGAGAGGACAGGGACCCTCGCATCCCCATTCTGTTCCCTCCAGGGACTCGGGCTTATTGCTGGAAGGATCCAACAGAGCACCTTTGAGGACAAAGACCTAGAGAGAGAGGTAAAGTGACTTCCAAAGGTCACATGTCAGGTCAGTGACAACAAGTCAGACATCGGAGGCCAAGATCCCAATCCCTCCCCCACACCACGTGCCTGGCTCCTTGGCACTGAGCAAGAGGATACCATGACCCCAACACCAGAAATGCCTGGCAAATGCCAGTGCTGTTCAGGCTCACGGTTCAGCTTCACTTTCCCTGTCATCCTTGTGATCTCCCCTACACTCAAGGCTGGTTTCAAATCTTAAGGAAATGGAAGTCTGTTTTTGCTCACAGAAAAGCCGGAGTGTCTTTAGCGCATACTCCCGCCTGCAGAATGCAGATGGCGCTTGGGGTCAACTCTGATTGTAAGAGTCTCCAGCTTGCCTTGTCCTAGGGAGACGCTGCACACAAGGCTGGGCTTCCAGATCCGTGTGGAATCTGTACTGCCACTAAGAGAGGCGGGGTGGGGAGGCAGCCCTCGGGGGCCTGCTGTACTCCTGCTGTGAATGCCTACCTTGGATGGCGCTCAGGTACTAGGGGCTCAGATGGCCTCTGCAGCCAAGCGGGGTGGGTCAGACTTGGCTATGGCAGCAATGGGGCTGGGGCAGGGGCTCCCTGGCAGGGTGCAGGTGTGCGCTGCGTGGTGGATGGCCGTCTCTGCCTGTGCCCCGCAACCTCTCCTTGGGGGGCCCTTACCCTTCCTCCGTCTCGTTGATGATGTCACAGATCTCCATGTTGAGAGCCCAGTCCTCGCTCTGCAGGGAGCCATCTGTGGCTTTCTCTGAGAAGAAACCATGAGTCATAAAGGCATGTGGGGGTCCTGAATGGGTAAACCCAAACCCTGGGTGGGAGGGGAGCGGGGTGCAGGGCCGGATGAGATGGGGAGGAGGAAGATGACAGACGCTTCGAGCACAGGGCCTGGCGCTGTGTGAGACTGCTCTACACACATCATCCCATCCTCACTAGATTTTTGTAGCCAGTGAGGCTGGGAGTACCTCTGTCCTTCAACAGATGAGGAAACCATGGCTCTGAGCGTACCAAAGGGATGCACCAGAGGGGAATCTAGGCGGGTCTCCGTGTGCTTGTTCCTGACATGATATAATATGGTGACAATGCTTTGCTTCATTTCTGTAGATAAGACGTTCTCCCTTGACTTTAGAATTATCTTTTGAGCTGGGCGTGGTGGCCCATGCCTGTAATCCCAGCACTTTGGGAGGCTGAAGTAGGTGGATCACCTGAGGTTAGGATTTGAGACCAGCCTGACCAACATGGTGAAGCCCCGTCTTTACTAACTACAAAAAATTAGCCGGGCATAGTGGCACATGCCTGTAATTCTAGCTACTTGGGAGGCTGAGGTAGGAGAATCATTTGAACCCAGGAGGCGGAGGTTGCAATGAGCCGAGATTGAGCCATCGCACTCCAGCCTGAGCAACAAGAGCAAAACTCCATCTCCAAAACAAACAAACAAACAAAAAGAATTATCTTTTGAGTTGGTAACCATTCACAGGATACAAAATCTAAAAGTTCTCAAGTGGTATACGATGCAGCTAGGTAGATCTATCTCTGCCCCTGCCCCAGCGCCCTCTTCCTAGAGGCATCCCCTGTAACCAGTTTCCTCTAGAATCTCACAGAGACCTTCTTTACCTAGGAAGCAAAGGCTCCATTACTAATAGGTCACCCTGCCCTCCTGTACCCTTCTGAGGCACCCACAGAAGGGACCGACGCCAAGCCACCCGGCAGAACTGCCCCAAAGAGAGGCGATGATTCATGCAAGGTATCAGCATGGTATGGGCCCAAAATAAACACTCAGCAAGTGGCGGTGGTTCTTTTTTAAAAAAGTTGAGGCGAAAGTCACATAAAATAAAACTAACCATTTTCCCGTGTATAATTCAGTGGCATTTGGTACATTTGTAACACTAAATACAACCACCACCACCTCTATTCAGTTCCAGAAAATTTTCACTTTGTGGCAGTTCCGAGGGTAGGGTTTCCAGGCCGGGAGTCGGCTGCAGAGTTCTGGAAGCCCGTCAGGGCCATGGCCTGGACCACTGGCTGCAGGTCCGCACGGTGGCAAGTACCGGGCTGGCAGCCTTTTGTAAACTGTAGTGTGGGAAGCACTGATTGGTATGACATGAAAGATGAACGCGGGAACTGGCAATGCCAGCACCTTTGTAAATGGTCCTCAGGAAAGGGAGGTGCCGCATGGCCTGTGTTTTTGTTCTCTGCGCCTTCCTAGATGCCATCTTCACGCAGACCAGTTCACGTGCACACAGGAAATGTGCCCTGTTTCTCGCAGGTAACGTTCTATTACGCACATCACTCTGGCTGGTATGTACTGTGACTACATGGAGGACTGTGTGATGAGACAGGCCTTGCTCAGCATTTTAAGGGTGAGACCCTGTTCTGACGCAGGGACTACCCAAGGCTCTCTCCCCGGCAAGGGTCACATGCGGAGTACTCATCCGCCTGCTGTCCTCTGTAGCCATCCTGCCGGCCTCGGCACACCTGCTGGCTGGCGGGCCTGGCACTTGGGCACAGTGCTGCTGGCTATTATCTATCAGGAGTGTGTGCCTGGGTAGGCATGTAGAACTTGTTATTCCATGTGATGTGATGTCATGCTGTCCTGCAAGGGAGGCTCTCCCCTCACGGCTGTGCCCCAGCTCGGAGAGGGTGGGTGACTCCTTGCTTGCTACACAGCTATTTGTAAGCCAGGCCGGTTCCAGGCACTGGGATACCATGGTGGACACGGTGGGCATGGTCCCTGCCTTAGGGTGCCCAAAAGAAGCTACAGGGCATGCCAAACCCAGTCTGCCAGAGGACAGAGGAGGGCAGTTTCCATGGGACTGGACAGGGCCCTCTTCTAGCCACGCTGGCTCACCCAACTCTAAAACTGTGGCTCTGAGACCTTGGTTTTGCAACTGGCCCAACTTCAGTTCCACCCTTAGGTCCTGAGCCAGAAGGATGCCAGGGTGGCCCAGGACACATGCCAGGCGGCTGAGGCAGAGGGCAGTTGCTTTACCCCCAGATCAGGCCTGGAGGAGGGGATGAGGAAGGCTCCTCTGACAGGGCTGAAAGACAGAGTCGTCCATCCTGCGAAGGTTTACTGAGTGTGGCTTCTTTATACCACACCCCTGCCCTTGGGGGTTCCACACTTAAAGAACCACATGGGAAGAACAGAGCAGGCTGAACAAGTGTCCCTCTGAGCAGAGGGCCATGTCCTGCTTTGGAGGGTTTGGGGGCAGGGGTTAGTCACGTCAGCGTTAACCTACAGAACCTGCTCCTCTGCCACAGGCCACATCTCAGCGAGCCCCAGTCACACGGGCCAGAGGGTTAGTGTCATCTCCCTCCCCGCCCACATCTAAAGGCCACGAAGTCCTGCCAAGTCAGCTCCCAAATCTCTGTCCATCACACCATCCCCTTCTCACCACCCCTCTGCCACGGTCCCTGCCCCAGCCCGGCCACCATCCACCTGCTAGACCACCGCCTCAGCTTATTCCTTCCTCCTGCCTCCCTCCTCCCACCCATTCTCCACGCTGCCCAGAGGGAACTTTCTGAAACCTGAAAATGACAGTGTCCTTCCTGCCCAAATCCTTCCGCGTCTCCCTAGTCTTCGGCCTGGCCTGCATGCCCTTCCACGATAATATTTTAACTTTCCAAGTTATATGCCGTAGAATATCAAGCAGCATTAGCTGTTCACATGAAGAATGAGATTCAATTTTCACACGCTGTAAGGTGTGCATTATTGCCCTCATCTCATGAGGAAACTGAAGCACAGAGCGGTCACCAACTTGCAAAGGGTACACAGAGGTAAGGGCGGGGCGGCTGCTGAGGCTGTGGCGCAGGTGCCTGAGGCGTCTGTGCCATCCGCATCTCTCGGCGGGGGCGGGGAGCTCTGCTTTCCCAGAAGTGTCCTTCCCGACCACGCAGGCAGTCGGCCCTCTCCTCCCTGAGCTCCACTGGCAGGCCCCTCCGTGGTCCCCTCCATCAGATCCCCTTCTGTCCCTAGCACCCCTTGAAAACGATGGGCACCTCTCATCTCCTGGAGGAGAGAACATCAGTGTTTCAGGAGAGGCTGTGGGTGTTTTGGAAAGGCAAGCAAGTGGCTTTTAAAGGGAAGCGGGGACATTGATAAATAAGAGAAATCCCATACCCGGGAATAAGGTGGGTGCAGAAAGACCGCCTCCCCTCCGCCCTGCCCTGGTGCGAGTCTGATGTGACCCAAGCAGCGCGGGCAAGCTCCTTAGCCCTGAGTGGTAGCAGGCAGCAGTGGGCAGAGCCAATCAGAAGATGGAGGTTTTCTGCGGGGTGGGAGGGGACATGTGGCCTAAAAGAGAAAGGGGAGAGAAAGAGGAGGAGGAGACAAAATTGGGACAAGGCCAATCTGTGCGCAGTACAAGACAGCTGTTGGGAGGCTGTGGGACACATCTGCCCAGACCATCACTTGCCAACCCCTTCTAGGTTCCTCCAGGTTCCTCCAGGTCCAGGTGTGGACTACAGAACCGGGGAGAATCATGGATTTCCTTCAGATGCCCACAGGGTAGGCATATTCCATCAGGGCAGAATTTTAAACCCACAGGAACCTGGCAATATTTGCTTTGTTTTTGCTCTTAACCACAGAAGTAATTCAGCTTGCTATTTTAAGAAGGGGGAATAAAAATACTGACAGTGGTTACCAGTTACCAAGAGAATGACAACTGATTCCCTGACCTCGGAGCTGTTGGCAATAAACTTCAAGGGCCTCTGGGTAGCAGCCGTGCTCTTGTCTTCCAGCTCCTGTCAGAGCCGGGCCCTGCAATCCTCCACCTTTCATCAGGCGGCTTTGCGGTTGTCTATGGCTGGCAAGTCTGTGGCTTCGGATCACTGGGCACCTGTGCATCTGTACGGCAGTCTGTCCTCTCCCTGTTGGGCCTGGTGCAGATACCACCTCCCTGGAGGGCTCCAGATAACCTGCCTGGCACGATGGCAAGACCCACTTGTCCCTCATGGAGATGAGGATGGAGTGGGATGAGTCTGGCCTGACCTAACTCAGAGACCATGGGCAAAGATCCAGCCCTTGAGTCTGTTTTTGCACCCATAAAATCAGGGTAAGACTGCCTGCTTCACAGGATGTTGTGACCTTGCAGCCAGACAATGTCAGTATGACATCAGGAAAGGCTAGCAATGAGTAACCGAGCTACAATGACTATGATTTGGGCCAAGAGAAAGAATGAGCTCACAGACTCCTGGGGGAGAGAGAGAGAGATGTGGAAACAAAGAAATCGCCCAACGGACCAAAGACACGCCACACCACGGGCAGCATCAGAGATGGGGGCCATGACATGGTATCACCCCTTTCTTTCTTTCTTCTTTTTGGGAGACAGTCTTGTTTTGTCACCCAGGTTGGACAACAGCAGCATGATCTTGGCTCAGTGCAACCTCTGCCTCCTGGGTTTAAGCGATTCTCCTGCCTCAGCCTCCTGAGTAGCTGGATTACAGGTACCTGCCAACACAGCTGGCTAAGTTTTGTATTTTTAGTAGAGATGGGGTTTCACCATGCTGGCCATGCTGGTCTCAAACTCCTGACCTCAAGGGTCTGCCCGCCTTGGCCTCCCAAAGTGCTGGGATTACAGGCATGAGCCACCACACCTGGCTCTTTCTTTTTTTGGGAGACAGTCTTGTTCTGTTACCCAGGTTGGAGTACAGTGGCACGATCTTGGCTCACTGCAACCTCTGCCTTCTGGGTTTAAGCGATTCTCCTGCCTCAGCCTCCCGAGTAGCTGGATTACAGGTACCTGCCAACAC